GAAGATCTTACGGGTTTGGAACGACATGCGGGTGAGTAATTAATTACAGAATTTTCATTTTGGGGTGAACTAACCCTTTAAACTTACATAGTAATTATTTTTTATCTTTGTGGACAAAGCTAAGTAATCATACTCACACACAAGTCAATAAAACTATTGTTCTTATGAATTAATTAATGAATGAATCATTAAAACCCGAGCTTTCTAGATTAGAAAAGTGTTTTTGTTGCCAAAATGGGGAGGAGAGGAAAAGAACATCTGATTAGAAATGTGTGAGGTGCTTTGAGTGAAAGCACACTGCAGTTTAATAAATGTAAACCCATCATCTATAATTCTGGTGACGGCGAGCAGGGGAGGAAAAGTCATGTTAAGCATGAGTCCTTTGGCTTCACCTCAGATTAAGAGAAATAAATGTCTCTCTTCTCCCACGGCAGAGAAAAGGGGATCACTCAAAAACACAGGCACAGAAAACTCATTAAACATGGTGGAAAATGAAAATGAGAGTGGGCTGTGGACATCCACACAATTGCACACAGCATAATTGTTTGATTTGCTAAGTGAATGTGCTCTGTGAATCAAAAGAGTGTGTGTTTTGAGGGGGAGAAGGGGACAGTGAGCAGAAGTGTACAGAATCTATAGGGTTACTCTTAATTGATAATGAAAGCGATTCTGAAGTCTGTTTTATCACGCGGATAAAAGACAGTACTTTTAATGACTGCAGTGCACCTTTAGAGAATGAGTGATATTGACCTTTACTGTAAGAATGAAGGACTGTGTGAATGATGAAAGGCTATGGTAAAATACTTTTAGTAGTGGTAAAACGTCGCTGTGGTTGACATGTTCACAAGGGCTCCTAATGGCTATTGTGTGTGTTTTGTATTTATGTTGGAGGTCTTCGGTATGTAAGAAAAAATATTTTTTTAATGCATTTATTTATTTATAAATCAGTATAAAAATACTCTATACTCTCCACGAGCCTACAGCTTAGTTTGATTTGAGGCTGAAGAAACAAAATGTATAACACCATTATTGCCTGATTTTATTGCTGATCTGCTGATAAATATAAAATGTAATCTCGACTTCAAACAGTTCTGGAGATTTCAGACTGAGTGAACTGATTTGCCTTGACATAACTTTAGTTTCACTGATAAGCCCAAAATGTGGAATCATTTTAGGTACTTAATGCTTCCCTATTGTACTGTTTGGAGCACAGCCAAAAGAAACAGCTCCAAACACACATAAACACACTCCCAAAGCCAATGGTGCCATGAGCCTGTGTCTCAGCAGACCTTTCTCTCTCAGTGACAGCTGTCAGCTTGAACTAGTGACCAAGCAAAAAACAAAAAGGGAATGAAAGAACAAGTGAGACAGACTCAGGAGGCACAGAGAGTGAGAAACAGAAAGAGAGGGACACTAATCCATAACAGCACCTGTTATTCTGTTTGTTCCCACTGGAGGGAAAAGACCCTCTCTGTAAACACCTGCACATGGATGGCAAATCCGCATATCCATGCATGGAGTGTACTCTACTTACAGCATGATACGGTGGTAACACTTTAACCCTTCGACCTCCATATGGTTGAGAGATATTCAGTCACTCTAAATCCTGTCATACTGTCACACACACACACACACACACACACACACACACATATATATATATATATATATATAAACAGTACACACATCCACATCTGCAAATGCAGTGACTTGAGAACATGCAAAATATAAATACACATTTGTATTTCATATTTGAATTCCAATATCAGTGCATACCTATTTCTATATTATTATTAGTAACTGAATATAGCATTATGATGATTTATTTTATTTTTTATTTTTTTAATCCGTGTAGGAGTTAACACTATGATTCCAGCAGGCCTGCTCTTTGTCATGAGAGGGCAGAGAATATGCTGTTTTAGACACATGAAGTACCATCCTGAAGCTTTGGGCTTGATGAATTCTTCAACAGTGAGACTAAGCATGTTTCTGTTTGAAAGCAATCATTTCTTAGGGCCCAGGAATTAAATAAATCCAAAATTACATTAAGGTCTGCTTTGATACGACTTCGGGGTTAGGCACTGAGCAGAGAGAAGGAAGCTTGATACGAGCAGTGTAATTCCAGTGCCAGTGTGGGGTGGACTTTGATTACATTTCGCTTTAATGAGCAGTGGGCTTTTACTAGAGGTGGAACAGATCCCATAAAACATAACCGTACGGTTCACCAGAAGTTTTGTATGAGGTTCATCTCATGTCTTACAAACTGTGTCAGAATTCTTCTTATCTGTTTTCTGTTTTTGAATTATCTATGTATTTTTACAGTGTGTTGTGTTTCGATACAGCATATGGTTTATTGTTTTCAAAACTGGTCAAACAAAGCGATAAAATATCGGATATCAGTATTAACCTCAAAGTACTAAATATTTATAGAACTGAAAACATGACCACAGTACTCTGATACAAACAAAACCACAAGACATTATAACCAATACACACATGGTTTTTTACACAGAAAAAAAATATCATTGACAGTCAAGCAAAGATGTGCTCAGTTGCGTGTCATTTTGCAAATGCCATTTCCTGCTTTCATTTCGATATGCTTTTTAATCATTTCAGTAGTCAAATGTCACAAATGATACAGTGTTTCTGTCTCTAAGATCATATAATCTCACTGTGGACTGGCACTGGGGGAGTGGGAGGGATTGACATGATAGAAAAAAATGCGGCTGATCTTAACAGAAACGATAACACAAGCTCACATGTAGGGTTGTGACGGTGAGGAAATTTTCCCACCGGTTAATCGATGTGTGACAACACCGGTAATACCGGTATCACCGTGGGGGCGGGGGCGTTCCCTCTTTTCCTCGCTTTCCTTCGCTTTTAAATAGCTTATTCGAATTAGCGGCAGTTCGGCGTCAATTGCTTGAATGCAACAACAAAATACAACGTCAAACTCACTTTAGCCTATATATAAAACATAGAACTTTTATTAACAAAACAAATAAAAATACACAATGCTATAGGGCAGGCCATGCCAAATATAAAATAACAAATAACTTACATAAAGTTTAAATAGGTATACAAAACTAAGAAATAGGCTAAGTAAACGTATAATATATAACCAAATAAATAAGAAACGTAGAACGTTTATTAGCAAAACGAGTAAGAAAGCTTGGAGGCACGGCACGCACCTTGATGTAAACAAATAAATAAATAAATGACACAAAGTTTAAATAAAGTGAAAATCAGCAAACAATGTGATACCAATAAATAAGAAACAAATGTTTAAAAAAAACTTCCAAAATCACTTTAGATAAACGGCAAAAGTCAACAGGCTTTTCAAAATCCAAAATATTGCCAAACAGGAGCTTTTGCATCTCGTTTCGAAACTAAATCATCCGCGATCGTCTTGTCTGTCTCACCTCACCTCACTCTTCTTGTCAGTCAACGCGACTCACTCTCCTCACTGGATAAATGAAATCTGATCTGTGATGCGACTGTCGTTCGGCACGCTGCATTGAGCAGCCGCATTCAGTTTTTAATTGTAGCGTCTGTTCTTTTACTGAACTAAATGATTTTTATTACTATAAAAAATCTAAACGACGGTGGGGGTTGGTGCCGCGGTGGGCAAGTGACATAACCGGTGTTGCGGCTTAACACCGGTATCACCGTCAGCACCGTCTATCGCGGCAAGCCTACTCACATGTGTATCCATTATGTTTGCTAATAGAATAGAGAGAAAAAAAACTTGGAACCTACAGAGATGGTAACAAATGCAATTTAAAGAGTTGTGTGGATGTATCAATCTAAACTGGGAGGATAAATGTGTTTAAACTTACAGCTTCCCTGACACACAGCTAATTGTGGCGTATCTGTGCTTTCTCTGGTGGCATGTCTAATTAGAAATGTGTTGTGTGTATGGAAGCTTTGAAGTCTTCTCTCCATGATCAGTAAGTAAACAGTTTCTCTGCCTCAGATCCGCGAGCAGCCCATCTCTGGCCTGGGTTTGTGTTTCATGTTTCACCAAAAGAAGTTCAGGGCCTGTGACTGTAGACTGCAAACACACCTCTTTTTTTCCACTGGATGCTACTCTTTCATAGCTCATGCTTTTTTATTTTCTTGAAGATATTTCTCGTCGATTACTTTAAGAGCAATTAAACAAAAAAAAGTATGAATTTCGGCAAATCCGAGCACAGTTTGAGATTGTTGAAATCTCTTCTGAAACTTAAGAGGGGATTTCTGTGGTCTTTTTCCCAGGAGAAAAATCTCCATTTAATCTCATTGCCGTCTAGGAGAAACAACTGAGATAATGTAATTTTCCTTCCTTTGGGTAGACACACATAGAGGGGCCATAAAACGTGCACACAGATAACATTCAAACACACTCGCAAATTCAGTTCACACGGGGTCTCAAACACACAAATGCACGCATTGGAAAAACATTACAAGACGTCAGTGGGACGGTCTCTGATTCAGATAGGTGGAGGAGGCTATAAACACATATAGTGTTTCAATTAAAGTCCCTATTGCTGTGGCTCAGACTCAGTGCCAGCTGTGTATGGTTACAAAAGCAATGCGGTGGCTCCTTCCAATAGCCCTAAAAAGGCAAAACCACCAAAGCACTTTAACTCCCTCACTGAGAATAAAAAAAAGGGGATGAAACGAAAACAGAAAAGAGAGGAGCGGGGGACATGCTAAGTGGAGTGCAGCAACATTAAGGGCATATTAAAACAAGATGGCCGACAGCTGGTAATGCAGTTTGTGTTGGGCGCAGGCTGTGCCGGCACTCATTAGGGCACAGAGCACCACCGAGCCGCCTCGTTCTCTCTCTCTTCCCCTCTCCTGTAGCCCCTGAAAAACACAAAGCTTCCTCATAATGTTCCCAAGTGTGTAAATCATTCCAAAGGCTGATACAAAGTACACTGTAAGCCGCAAAAATAATTAGGGCCAACTGCAGCTACCGCCTTTTCTTCCCTTCTGCCTCGGATTCTTCTTTCCAGCCTTCCGCACCCACATGCTTTCCCTCCGACGCTTGCCCAGGCAAATAAAACCTTCAGTCCACACTAAAGCCAAGGGGACATTAAAGTTATAAAAGTTGGCTGAGCAGACATGAGGTGTTCCTTACCGTGTCTAACATGCCGGGTAAAACATGCTATTTAACTTCCTCCCACTTTTCTCTGCAGGCCTCTCATTTAAAGTCTTGTTGGAGCTTGTCTTACTTTCATGTCCCCTCACATTGTGTGGCCCCCTTCTCTGATGCATTTCTCAGCTATCACCCTCTTTTTCTACTCCGACACGCACTCACTCTCCCTCTTGCTGTCTGATGCGATACTAGACAGGGTTACATGAGCCATAAGGCTGCAGAAAAAGGGAGAGGGAGAAGGAATGAGTGAGTGAAGTAGAAGAGGAGAGCGACGTGACTTCACAGAGATGCTGGCAGCATGTCCTACTGTATGTTCTGCCCTCACTAACCCGATGCCGAAAAACAGGGAAATTCGGCCACGCTCTTCCAAACAGCTGCCAAACCTCCTGGACATGAAAGCCGGGGTGAGACAGCAGGAGGAATTCAGTCGGCTGGGCCCTCAATCCAGTCCTCATCATTCCATTACGCTCCGTCGCAGCCTCAGAGATGCACTTCACAAACAAGCTCAAATATTGAATTCTGCAGTGTGTGCACGCATGGAGAAACAGAAAACGAGTTTATAAGACAAGTATATGATAATAAGAAATGGATACGAGTGTTGGCAAAATGCAGAATTTAATAACTGAATTGGACAAATTCCATAGTATGATGAACTGATTAAAACAAAGTGTAATTTACCGAAATGCAGTTTAAGGAAATTCAATGCAGACACATATTAGCGATTTCAATAGTCTACCACAAGCAACAAAGCATAAATAACTGTCTATTTATTTCCTGACATTAAAAATCAAGATCAAAAGTGTTTATATACTGTAAATATGTTCAAATGTATAAGGGCAGTATGTTTTTTTTGTTTTGTTTTTCTTAGAATACTTTTAATTTTATTCAATAGTTTTATTTTTATTCAGCAAGGATGCATTAAATTGTAATTAATTAAAATTTGAAGAAAATGAGAAAATAATTCTATTTCAAATTATGTTTGAACTTTCTATACATGAAAGAATCCTGAAAAAAATCAATACTGATAATAATAAACGTTTCTTGAACACCAAATCAACATATTAAAGCAATTCTTAAAGATCATGTGACACTGAAGACAGGAAGAAATGCCGCTAGAAAATTCAGCTTTTCCATAACATGAATAAATGGCTTAAATGATTTAAAAATATATTAAAATAATAATAAAAAAACAGTTATATTAAATTGTAATAATATTTCACAATATCACTTTTTGCTGTATTTTTTAACAAATTAATGCAACCTCGGTGGACACTTTACGACATAAATTATTTTTCTAATATATAAAACATACATATAAACATTAAATAATAAAAAAATTATATTTAAATTCAGAAATGTTATATTTTATATTTGAATATTATAATTTATTTAAATGTTCTATTAAAAATACTATTTACAGAAATTGAATTTCAATTCCACTTCCTCAAATTTAAATTGCAGTTCCACATCCTGTTTAGTCAATTCATTTCAAATTGTGAATTGGAATTTAGAATGCAATCTCCGTGATGTGCAGTCCTGATGGACAGAGAGTACATCCTCTGTATACTCGGCATAGTGGAAGTCCATACTAACTGTAATATCCAATAAAGTAAATTACACATAGCCATGCAAAAAAGACCAGTTCGGTTTATGCAGGTGAAGCTGCCTCATCAAGATCATTCTGAAAAATCTGGTTGACCAAGGAAGTCTTGTTGATAAAAGTAGGTTAAGAAGCCTGGTGGGGACTCCAGCACAGCGGCATCCCCAACACACCATATGCTGGGGACCACCTATGCTGGTCTTTTTCAGCAGGGAGTTCAGCAGATGAATCCTGCACACAGTGGAAGAGCAGCAGTCCTCAAAGCACTGAGAGATGGGAGACCTGGGGACTTAGTACAGCAGCTTAGCAATGCAATACAGAACATTAGCATGAGAGATTACATGCTGTTTAAAATGTGATAGGCCTGCAGGGGTGAGGTGTGGTACTGTAGCTGAGAGAAACTTGAGTGTGTCTCTCCTTTCCACATTCATGCTTCAAATTGAGGCCATTTGATAGAGGACAGCTTGTGTCTTTGGTTTCTCCATTAGGGGTCATAGGGAGAGTTGCTTTTAACTAATCAAATAATTCCAGAGAATATGCACGCTGTACTGTGCAGGCATGTGGTGCTAACACACAGGACGTGTGTGTGAGAGAGGCTGGTATTGAGCACATGTGTGAGGGAAAAGCACCACCTCTGCACCTTCTGTCACCTGAGTTTGCCATTCAGTGGGAAAGAACTAGATTAATGTAAAGGACAAATTTGTATGATGTGATGTTAACATACTTTCCTATGTCCAATACCAGTTGTAACACAGCAGCAAGTGTTTTATTTACCCTTACGTAATAATGCAAATCAAGCATTGATAGTATGGGTAGACTGGGCGCCTTTGGCTATCCAAAATACAATGTACGATGGTCCTCAGCAAGCTTGAAGACACCACATCCTCACTGTCTTAGTATAACCAATCCAATAATCCCCAATGTCTACAACAGAAAAGTCTGCTTCTTGCTTTATCTCCCAGGGGCAAATATGAACAAGGGAATAGGCTAATGCTAAGTGCCTTACTCTAATCACACAGCCAAGACAAACCTCATTTCCAGCGTAATACCCTCAAAAACCATCCACATAATCCCGCTGACAATCAAGAGTCTTCACCCTTGCACGCCACCTCTTCCCACTGGATAATATGGCCACCTTACAAAAATATCATCATTAGCATAAATCACTTTGATGGCTTAGCATCTGCCAAAGGGTGTTATTGACATTTCTAATGCCCATAAAAACAATGTTCCTCTTCGATTCAAATTAACCCAAGTCCCTGAAGTTTCTTTCCTGGATCAGGTCAAATTTGTTCAGGAATAAAAAAGGAGGGTGGGGGAGAAAAAAAAGAAAGATGCAAATTCGTTTCTTCAAGGCCAGCTCACCAGAGACCCAGAGACTGCTCTGATTAATTGACATGAATTTCTGACTGCAACGTTTTAACATGAGCAAGTGTCAAGCGTTCACCCAGGAATAACAGCAACAAGCTGAACAACGAACAACTTTCTTGGTAAAAAAAAAAAAAAAGCCATGCACTGGCCTTTGCTAGTTCTTTGCTATTTTTATTTGTAAAACTTTTTGAATATGACAGCTCCTCAGCTATGTGGACTTATGGGATAGAATAGTGACCACAGGTTGCACACTTCAGAATATCAGCTGATGCAGAATGTCACCGGGGTATTGTCATTGTCATCATGGATACTAGGTATTCAGACATCCTACGAATATGGGGAAATACATATTGTGTCAAGCAAGCTGAAATGTAATGTCACTGGCTCTCAGAACAGCAGCAGTAACAGGACGGGCAACCTCTGACCTCCCAGTTGCTAAAGCAAGTAGTAAAAAGGTTTGCCAGTGGCCCTGTGGGTCTAAAAGAGAGTTAAAGATTTTACATAGGTCAGCAGGGCCAAAAAGGCCCAAGACGCACACATACTGTACGTGCATTTCACAACAGCCTTGACAGGTCTCAAGTGCCCTACACATTAAGATGAAAATGAAAATTTGATTACATCCAGGTTACACTTACCCTTGAGTGGCCCCTCTCAGGTGCAAGCACTGAGTTACGTGTACTCCACTTGATTATCCTAAAAATAAAAACAATTTAGCGGGAAATTGTTGAATATCTTGCTTATGAAAATGAGGGCTATTGAGCACAGCTTCTAGTGTGTGGCAGAATTGTCCTGAAATATGTGAGAACACCTTCATAAACAGAATCGTTCCTGGAATCTTGTATCATGGGATTGCATTTCACAGAAGAGCGTTAGCGTCAGAATCTATAATTGAGGTGGTGTATGAGAGCTCTGGAGGGCAGACAGGCCGGACGGCCCTGAAAAACCCATAGACAGAGGCAACAACGCTGGTGCCACCAGCGGCTCCAGCATAAGAGGCCTCTCTGGCTAAACTACTGATAAGAAGCATAAAAATCAATGATTAGTGGCTGGCGCCTATGCTAACTCAGCCAGTGCTATTAATTTGGATCAAACATGGCCACTTCCGGCTCAGGCCTTGTGTACTTCTAATGTTTCATGGGCTCTTGATTTGGGCGATGCTCTCCACCACATTCATTGACGTTCTGCTAACAAAGAAGAGGGCTACAAATGGACCTGAAGCTCTGATGTAGTGCTAGCATTCTCATCAGGATTAACTAGCCTCTTAAAGAATGAGACAGGCACGAAAAGGAGCACAAATTAATTTTAGTGCCCACATTAATGAATCAGAGTATTCCCTGTACTTCACACATAAGCAGCAGGGTGCAGCATGGCTGAAGCATAGGTGCAAATAGCATGATAAAGCAATTTGACATTTTATATTTATTTAGTTTTGCAGTGTGCTGAACTAAACTGCACTGAGCTAAATACTAAATGAACTAAAAAAGTAAATGAAAAAAAAAAGCAGGCACACAAGCATGTTTCTGTTCAGTACGTCTATGTAGTTTATATTCTATAAAAAATTTGGGTCAGTAAGATTTGTTAATGTTTTAGAAAAAGACCACGACTGCAAAGTATTAATGGGAAATTATTACGATTCAAAATAAGTTTTTAATTAATACATTTTAAAATGTAATTTATTATTGTTATTGCAAATCTGAATTTTCAGCAACAATTACTCCAGTCTTCAGTGTCACATAATCCTTCAGAAATCATTCTAATATGCCTATTTTGGTGGTCAAGAAACAGTTTTTCTTATTATTTTTCAATACATATACATAAATCAAAAAATATTTACTGTGACTTTTGATTAGCAAAATCAGTTTTGATCTCTAAATAAAAAGTGTTAATTTCTTTCTTT